GTATGCAAGTAGTTACCTCTCCTAGACGCTGAAGTGATTCGCTCTAGTGGGACTCTCAAACAAAAATTGTTCAGAAAGAATTCCAATGCTGGGATAATACTCACTTTACAGTCCCATCACAATTACAGGCTTAAGATTGGAATAATGAAGAGCATGATCATCCGAAGCCTACGATTAACGGATGTAGAATTCTGGGACGAGGAGCTGGACAAATTGACGAGGATGTTGCTCGGCAATGGCTACCCAATCGAAGTGATAAAGAGAAAGGTACGTGCCGTGAAAAGCTTATGGCATAACAGGAACTATGAAAGATTCACAAAGTGGATATGCCTACCTTCCTGCGAAGTAACTCAGAAACTACGGCCAATATTCAAGTGGCCATGAAAGAGTAATCAACACTTTTCACAAGTCCGCCAAAGCAACATGAAAGGTTAGAAAAATTGGACTGTTCAGGAGTTTACTGTTTATCATGTGGCGCCTGCAGACAGAAATAAATTGGCGAAACGGGTAGAAACATTAGCACACGAATCAAGGAACATCAAAGGCTCTTGAGGAAAAAGGACAACAAAAAATCAGAACTAGCGGAACACCTCGCACGGACTGGACACGAGATCAATTGGAAGGTAACAGAAAGAAGAGCTCCATACGGTGACAACACGGATCCCGATCGGGGATCCGGATTGGAGGCCCGCGTCGGATCAGCCGATCAAAAAAGAGGGATCGGATCAAATAGCAAGTGTGATGAGGCCACGATAGATCTGCCACAAAAGGACACACATTTTGACGAGTGGAATGTAAACAAATGAGAAGTTGTGATAGGGCGACAGTGGGATAAGAGGTTAAAGAGTAGATAGATAGACAATGACAGAAAGAGGAGTGATGGTGTAACAGTTTTCGGATCGAGTTCACTTGTCTCTTTGACGAGTTCGTAGCTTGGAGCGGAGAATGGCAAAACTGACTGATGATGCCGACTATGATGCCGGCGAAACGTCTGAGAATGTACCGATTCCATTGTCTGATGCTGGGAATCATAACAACTGCTAGGGCAGACGACTTCAGACTAGGTGCGTTCCACCAAGTCGCCCTGACAACAAGATTAAGTTGCGACAACGGGGTCAACTTACTTCTCTAAAAAGAATCTTTTTCGTAAAAGCAGCCACAGTAGACGAGTTCGAAATAATTCTAGCGGATACTTGTATCCTTATTCTAACGGATTATGGCACACTCTTAATGGAACATGGGTTTGTTATTCTGTTCTTAAATAAGATTACTGAGACCGGCTGAAATCAGCTGTTGCTGGAGCCATCTTAGCCGAATGAATGTTTTTTTTGAAATTTGATGATTACTCATCCCCGATGTTCAAGGAAAGTGGACACGAGGGAAAAGAGAATTGCAAGAGGTCACTGGGCAGAAAGTCTTAGACCATTTTTGGAATAGATCATCAAGACTGTAGACAAGGTCCCAGGAAATGTTGTCATTTATGGGTTTGAGGTTGGCAGCTTTACGCGGCAATTTACGATGCTCTTTCGCTCAGCACAAACTGGGATGATACTTTATCCACCCAGACTGAATCTACAGGAAGTCCTGTCTCTGTCAATGTAGTTCGACCCAACCTCTACCCAATCTGCACTTCGCCGCGCCTCACAACCATTCCCATTTGGACTCGAACTCAGCACCGAGAAGGCCCAGTCTCGTCATGGCACACTTCACTAGCACCAACTCCATGACAATTCAACACTTACGCATTATACAAGTGAATATTGTGTAGGTGAGTTAGTTATGACTTAACATTTTACCTGAGTAAGTTGAGTCCGTCGCTCCAGTGTTGTTCACCACCGACCGCCCGCACAACAACAATCAGTATCATCCTCCTCTTCGTAGTCATCATCAGTATTTCCCCTCCCACATACTCCGAGCCAGGGCAACCAAGTTGAAAATGTCCACATCTGAATACATTTATCCCATTTCACTTGGCATGAGGCTGACGCTGTAGACTGTGCGAAGCGACCTGTCACGGAGAAATGACAGAAAAATGCAAGTCAAGTGAAGGGGAAAAGGCGGAAATTTGAGGTCATGTTTAAGTGAAGCAAAAGTCTTTTTTGAGCTTTACAAACTCGTCAAAAGCCTGCAACTCCGCGGCCTTCTGCCCAAGGCACTACTCTGAGGCGTGGAGATGAGTCACGCTCGGATCGATCAAAGCCGACTTGAGGTCAAAAAACGCAGTCAGTCCGCTATTTGGATCGATAAACCGTCTTGAGCCTGGCCAGACCTGACGCAAAAACTGTGGGAAGCGCCTCTCGTCCAATCAGACGCGCAGAGTTGGCAAAAAAGTAACGACTTAAACAGCGCCGGCCTCGCAGTGCCGCGATGCGTGTCCCCTGGTCCCTTGGTCCTCGCGTTCCCCTCGAGTCGGCGGGGCCCACGCAATGGCCTTTGTCACCAGCTTTTGGCTGCTCATCTGAGCCTAGGCCGCGCAGACTTTGCTTTCGGTGAGAGCCGTAATTCGTGAAAGACAGCTTTTTCGGCATTGACTGGACAAGGCGATTTGAGAGGTAAATGTTCTTATTCACTTCGAATGCTAATCTCATCGAAAATAAGTGCAGAAGTTGTTTGACCTTGTCTTCGCAACTTGGTCATGTTGGTAGGAAGAGCTGAAGAAACGCAGCTTGTCCTGAGTCCGTGGTATGCACAATTATTTCCAAAGTCGGACCGTCGACGTGGTACATTTCCAGACGTTTTGCCGGCGTCGTAGTCGGCATCGTCAGTGAGAGAGACTTGTCTCTTTGACGAGTTGTTGTGTGGTGCTACGAATGGCGAGACTCACGGACGATGCCGACTTCGAGGCCGGCGAAACGTCTGGGAATGTACCGCACCAACGTCCCTGCTGGCAATCCTGTACCGAGAGGAGGATATTCTGGAGTCACAACGGATCAGGAGGGAGTCCTTGACAAGACCTATTTTACATTCAACGGGACCATCTATGAACCAATATTTGGACTTCCCGTGCCATCGCCACCACTTTTGGCAAGCGCAAACATGAACCAAATAGAAGAGAGCTTCAAGAAGGCACCGCTACAATCGGTACTTGGATGATTGCTTCGCACTTTGGTCACATGCAAGAGAAAAACTGGAAGAGTTTGTGAAGTTTGTAAACCAGATTGCATATATGAAGACCAAGATGTTGTGGCCTCTGATGTGATCGCAGTCTCCTTTCGATGGATAGAAGTGGGTTGACCTCGTTGTCGCAACTTGGTCTTGTTGTCAGGGAGACCATGTAGAATGCACCTAGTCCGAAGTCGTCTGCCATGGTAGTTGTCATGATTCCCAGCATCTGACAGTGAGTTTTGCAATTCGCCGCACCAAGCTACGAACTCGTCAAAGAGACAAGTGAAGCCAATCCCTCGACAAACTTTCTGCTGACATACTAGAATTGCCACAAAAGGGCACACATTTTGAAGGCTGGAATGTAAGAAAGTGTGAAGTTTGTGAT